ATGGATGGAAACCCAACGTCCAACGGGAACTGGTTGAAATATATCCGGCTCGCTCGCTCGAGCGAAGAACAAAACTTAGTGGTGTGTCCCATTAATGACCAGGTATGGACTTTTGTGCCTATATACACAAACACACACGCCGGGGGTGGGGGGGAATTGTGAGTTAAAGTTGTTGGAAAAACCAAAGTGGGGACTGCCAGCATAGGTGAGACCTAAGTGGTAAAATCTGAAAGAATCTTCTTGGTAGCCTAAAAGGAAACCAAACTCTACACCATTTCATTGCTTTTTACATTTGCCCGCCAGCAAAAGATGCACGTTTCTCTCTCTCTCCTGCCAGGACTACGCGAGGTTGCTGGTTCTGACCCCTGAAACAGGAGTTGGGGGCCATGAAAATGCTTCTGCTTCTCCTTCTTCTCTTCCCCCTCCTCCTCCTTCTCCTTTTCCTCCTCCCTCTGCTTCTTCTCCGTCTTCTCCCTCCTCCTCATTCTTCTTCTTTTTCTTCTCCTTCCTCCTCCTTCTCCTTTTCCTTTTTTTCTTCTTCTCTTCCTCCTCCTCCTCCTTCTTCTCCTTTTCCTCCTCCCCCTGCTTCGTCTTCTCCCTCCTCCTCATTCTTCTTTTTCTTCTCCTTCCTCCTCCTCCTCCTTCTTTGTCTTCTCCTTCTCCTCCATCTTCCTCCTCCTCCTCATTCTTAGTCTTTTTCTTCTCCTTCCTCCTCCTTCTTCTCCTTCTCCTTTTTTTTCTTCTTCTCTTCCTCCTCCTTCTTCTCCTTTTCCTCCTCCTGCTTCTTCTCTTTCTCCTTTTTCTTCTCCTTCCTCCTTCTCCTTTTTTTCTTCTTCTCTTCCTCCCCCTCCTCCTCCTTCTTTGTCTTCTCCTTCTCCTCCTTCTACTTCTTCTTCTCCCTCCTCATTCTTTTTCTTCTCCTTCCTCCTCCTACTCCTGTTTCCTCTCCGTCTTCTTCCTTTTCCTAATTCTTTGTCTTTTTCTTCTTTCTCCTCCTTATTCTCCTTCTCCTTTTTTCATCTCTTCCTCCTCCTCCTCCTCCTTCTCCTCCTTTTTTCTTCTTCTTCCTCCTCCTGTTTCTTCTCCTCCTCCTTTCCCTTCTTCTCCCTCCTCCTCATTCTTCTTCTTTTTCTTCTCCTTCCTCCTCCTCCTTCTTTTTTCTTCTTCTTCTCTTCCTCTCCTTCTCCAGCTCCTCCTTCTTCTTCTTCTTTCCCTTCTCCTTCCTCTCCTTTTCCTCCCCCTTCTGCTTCTTCTTTGTCTTCTTCCTCCTCCTCATTCTTCATTTTTCTTCTCCTTCCTCCTCCTTCTTCTCCTTTTCCCTTTTTTCTTCTTCTCTTCCTCCTCCTCCTCCTCCTTCTCATTCTTCTTCTCCTTCCTCCTCCTCCTCCTTTTTCTTCTACNTTCTCTCTCTCTCATGCCAGGATTACGCGAGGTTGCTGGTTCTGACCCCTGAAACAGGAGTTGGGGGCCATGAAAATGCTTCTGCTTCTCCTTCTCCTCCTCCTTCTTCTTCTCCTTTTCCTCCTCCCACTGCTTCTTCTGTGTCTTCTCCCTCCTCCTCATTCTTCTTTTTCTTCTCCTTCCTCCTCCTCCTTCTCCTTCTTTGTCTTCTCCTTCTTCTCCGTCTTCCTCCTCCTCCCCATTCTTCTTTTTCTTCTCCTTCCTCCTCCTTCTTCTCCTTCTCCTTTTTTTCTTCTTCTCTTCCTCCTCCTTCTTCTCCTTTTCCTCCTCCTCCTGCTTCTTCTCTTTCTCCTTTTTCTTCTCCTTCCTCCTCCTCCTTTTTTTCTTCTTCTCTTCCTCCCCCTCCCCCTCCTCCTTCTCCTTCTTTGTCTTCTCCTTCTCCTCCTTCTACTTCTTCTTCTCCCTCCTCATTCTTTTTCTTCTCCTTCCTCCTCCTTCTCCTTCTGCTTCTTCTCCGTCTTCTTCCTTTTCCTAATTCTTTGTCTTTTTCTTCTTTCTCCTCCTTATTCTCCTTCTCCTTTTTTCATCTTCTCTTCCTCCTCCTCCTCCTCCTCCTCCTTCTTCTTCATCCTCCTTATTCTTCATCTTTTTCTTCTCCATTCTCCTCCTTCTTCTCCTCCTTTTTTCTTCTTCTTCCTCCTCCTGCTTCTTCTCCTCCTCCTTCTTCCCCTTCTTCTCCCTCCTCCTCATTCTTCTTCTTTTTCTTCTCCTTCCTCCTCCTCCTTCTTTTTTCTTCTCTTCCTCTCCTTCTCCTCCTCCTCCTTCTCCTTCTTTCCCTTCTCCTTCCTCTCCTTTTCCTCCTCCTTCTGCTTATTCTTTGTCTTCTTCCTCCTCCTCATTCTTCATTTTTCTTCTCCTTCCTCCTCCTTCTTCTCCTTTTCCTTTTTTTCTTCTTCTCTTCCTCCTCCTCCTCCTCCTTTTCCTCCTCCTGCTTCTTCCCCTTCTCCTTTTTCTTCTCCTTCCTCCTCCTTCTCATTCTTCTTCTCCTTCCTCCTCCTCCTCCTTTTTCTTCTTTCTTCCTCTCCCCTCTACCACCACTTCCTCCTCCTCCTTTTCATCCTCNAGATATAGATATAGATATAGATATAGATATAGATATAGAGATAGAGATAGAGATAGATGATAGATGGATGGATGGATGGATGGATGGATGGATGATGGATAGATGGGTAGAATAGGTAGGTTGGTTGGTAGGTATATAGACAGACAGAGACATGGATGGATGGACGGACAGATGGACAGATAGAGAGAGGGAGGGAGAGAGAGAGGGAAGGTTGCATAGATAGGTGAAACGCAAAGACAAGATGAAAGGAGAAATCCCTTGGGTAACATTACAAATTCTGCGTTTTGTCCTTCTTCCTTTTTTCCTAAGACACACTCTAACAACTGTGCTTCAAGAAACAAGTGCGGCTTCCTATAACCCTGAAACAGTTTGTTTTCCTGTGTGTGTGTGTGTTCATGCTATTTCTCTTCAAAAAAACGTTTATTGAAAATTTAAACCGTTAAAATACAAAATACCTTTAAAAATAATTTTGTATAGGTTAACGATCCTTTTTGACAGTACTAACATACCATTTGTTATTCAAATACACTTTTTAATACCTTCCCCATCATTCCTCCATCTACACATCTATGCTTCTAAGCTGCACGCTTCGCCTTCCTATTATTCATCCATGGATCCCAGTTTCCCCAAACTGTGTAATATTCTAAGTCTTCCTTAACTCCAAGGTGACTTTATCCATCTCAGCGCAATCAAGAATCTTTTTGGATTATCAAACGAACTATCGGCATGGTATCCCTTTTCCAATATTGTGTCCATACTATTTCTCATTCCGACTGGCCAAAAATCCATCCAGATTTTTGCCACCGGGGGGGGGGGGGGAAGCATCCCCAGTTGTGCAGTCCATAAATCTCTTTCTATTTATGTTCCCCCCCCACCCCCTGCCTATAGGTCACCCCAGCCATCTGATACATTGGGGGTGGGGTGGGGGAATGAACCATTGTTCCATAGGAAGATGATGGATGGAGAATTATGATAATTTGTGAAACCATTATTGGGACATTAAGAACATGGATGTCCCCAAGGGCAAGGAATGGAGACTCGGGCTGTGGGGGGGGGGGACGACGACAGACAACCAGGCCATCAGAAATAGCACCCCCCCAGGAAGATATATGTTAAAATTAAATGTGTATATTGAAAAGGAATTATAAATCCCATCAACACAAAATGGAGCTTGCTCAGAAGCTGAAATACACCAAGTGAATGAGATGAAGGGTGTGAAGTGGAGGAGAGAGGTAAGGGAAAAAGAGAGGGATAGGAGAGAGGGCAGGAGGGGAAGAGGTGGAGAGAAAGGAGAAGTGGAAAGGGGAGGGAGGAGAAGGAGAGAGGAAGGGGAAGTTGAGAAGAGAAGGACAGAGGGAAGAAAGGAGGTAGGGAGGTGGAGGAGAGAGGTAAGGGAAAAAGAGAGGGATAGGAGAGAGGGCAGGAGGGGAAGAGGTGGAGAGAAAGGAGAAGTGGAAAGGGGAGGGAGGAGAAGGAGAGAGGAAGGGGAAGTTGAGAAGAGAAGGACAGAGGGAAGAAAGGAGGTAGGGAGGTGGAGGAGAGAGGTAAGGGAAAAAGAGAGGGATAGGAGAGAGGGCAGGAGGGGAAGAGGTGGAGAGAAAGGAGAAGTGGAAAGGGGAGGGAGGAGAAGGAGAGAGGAAGGGGAAGTTGAGAAGAGAAGGACAGAGGGAAGAAAGGAGGTAGGGAGGTGGAGGANCCAAGGTCCCTTCCAGCTCTATTCTGATTGATTGATGGATTGAAATGGTCTAGGGTCTCCTGCTTGAGCAGGGGGTTGGACTAGAAGACCTCCAAGGTCCCTTCCAGCTCTATTCTGATTGATTGATGGATTGAAATGGTCTAGGGTCTCCTGCTTGAGCAGGGGGCTGGACTAGAAGACCTCCAAGGGTCCCTTCCAGCTCTATTCTGATTGATTGATGGATTGAAATGGTCTAGGGTCTCCTGCTTGAGCAGGGGGTTGGACTAGAAGACCTCCAAGGTCCCTTCCAGCTCTATTCTGATTGATCGATTGATGGATTGAAATGGTCTAGGTCCTCCTGCTTGAGCAGAGGGTTGGACTAGAAGACCTCCGAGGCCCCTTCCCGCTGTATCCTTCTACATTCTAGAATGGCTTTCCCCAGTGAATTCCCCTGCACGGCGTGGCCAAAACAATTGGGACACAAGTTTTGTGGGGTGGCGGGGGGGGGGGGTTGCCTTCCAGGGACACATGCGGCATCAACCCCCACATCAACTCCCTTGTTTATGGCACCCCCCTAATCAGGGGGCCTCTACAAGCCCTTTTCTGACTAACCCAAGTTCTCTTTTTTTCTGACTAACCAACTTTCAAACTTTAGCAGTGAGCCGATTTCTGGTTTCGGGTCCGATTTGACAGTCGGGGAAAGAGTCTCCCCCCCCCTTCCCCCCCCCCGAAGCTCTTGATTGACAGCTGTTTGCCTCGTCCTCATGCACTGACCCTCCTCTTCTTCCTCCTTCTCTCTAGTGTCTCTACGGCTGTTACGTCCACTCCTCCATCATCCCCACGTTCCACCGACGGTGCTATTGGCTGCTGCAGGTAAGGCGGGGGGGGGAGGGGGCCTCGGTCTCAGGCGGGGCAGGTTGGAGCTGCTGCAGTTCCCCCCCAAAAAATATGTCTGTGTTTTGGCGGCTCTTTGCGCGGGACTCCCATGAAAAGTTTGCATTTACTTTTGACGTCCGAACTTGGTTCCGTGGTTCTGATGTCGGGTTCGGAGGCGGCTGGCGTGGCCTCCTCCTCCTCCTCCTCCTCCTCTCGGCGCCCCTTCTGTGATTCCGTCGCCATTTCGTTCTTGGATTTCAGTCGAACGGACGGTGTTTTTAATTTCTTCGCGCTCCGGAAGCAAAAGTTGCCTCCCTTCCCCTGAAATAATTGTAAAAATGCTGTATTTGCATTCTAGTTTCTGTTTCAAGGACTTGCTTGTCTGGCTCCACCAGAGCTGTGGTGGCGCAGTGGCTAGAGGGCGGTACTGCAGGCGCCTTCTGCTGACTGCCGGCTGCAGTTTGGAAGTTTGAATCTCACCAGGCTCAAGGTTGACCTGGCTGTAAAGCACTGTGAAGGGGTATATAAGTGCTATTCCTTCCTTCCTTCCTTCCTTCCTTCCTTCCTTCCTTCCTTCCTCCCTCCCTCCCTCTTTCTATTATTTTCTTCCTTCTTTCTTTCCTTCCCTCCCTCCCTTTCCCCCCTCCCTCTTTCTATTATTTTCTTCCTTCTCTTCTTCCTTCTCTTCCTTCCTTCCCTCCCTCCCTTTCCCCCCTTCCTCTTTCTATTATTTTCTTCCTTCTCTCCTTCCTTCCTCCCTCCCTTCCTTTCCCCCTCCATCTTTCTATTTCCTTCCTTCCTCCCTCCCTCCTTTCCCCCTCCCTCTTTCTATTATTTTCTTCCTTCTCTCCTTCCTTCCTCCCCCCTTCCTTTCACCCTCCCTCTTTCTATTATTTCCTTCCTTCCTTTCCCCCCTCACTCCCTCTTTCTATTCTTTTTTTCCTTCCTTCCTTCCTTTCCCACCTCACTCCCTCTTTCTATTTCTTCCTTCTCTCCTTCCTTCTCTCTTTCCTTCCTTCCTTCCTTCTCTCCTGCTTCCTTGCTTCCTTCCTTCCTTGGTGTTACAGTGGTTAGAACGCAGTATTGCAGGCTGATTCTGCCCATTGCCAGCAGTTCGATCCTGACTGGCTCAAGGTCGACCCAGCCTCCCGTCCTTCCGAGGTGGATCAAATGAGGACCCAGATTATTTGAGGGGGCAAGAGGCTGACTCTGTCAACCTCTAAGAGAGGGCTGGAAAGCACTGTGAAGCAGTGCGTAAGTGCTATTGCTATTCCTACTCCGCCGAGTATTGACTTACATATTTTCGCTGCCACAGGGGGAGTTGCAAAGGGTGCATTGTTGACTAAGTAGGGTTTCCTCCACCAAGGCGTGGGGGCGAGAGCGTCTTCTGATCCTGGTAGTAAGGAACCCCTTCAGGGTTGGTTGGGACTTGGTGACGGGTGAAGGTCTGAGGAACAAGACCACGAAGAAGTTGGCCACCAAGTGGCCCAAGGTGAGAAAGTGCCAGGTGTGAAGGTCACTGGGGTCATAGACTCCACCCGTAGTTCTTATCTTGGGCCTGGATCCCTCCACCTCTCCTTGCTCCATGGAGGATTGGAAGTTCTCAAGATGTTCTGTGCTTCCCACCAAAAGCTTTCATGGCTGCTTGGTTCTTTGATGGACTGGATGATGTTGAGTCCCACGTTGATGCTTCGTGACCCCAGGACTGGATTCCCCCCCCTCCCCAGGAGAATTGTCCCTCCTTCATGGGTGGCACACCAGCTGTGTCTTAAGGTGAACCTTTCCGTTCCTCGTCTTCTCTTTGGAGAACTTCCTCAGAGGTGTGGGGACACCAAAGAGGAACCGCCTCTTGTTCTGGATATTGACGTGGGGCGTCTTAACCATTTAACCTCGGGGGTTTCCTTGCAGGCATTTCATGACCCAACAAGAGAACATCATCAGGGCTAGAAGGGAGTGGGGTTTGCAGAGAGGAGGAGGAGGAGGAGGAGAAGGGGAGGGAGGAGGAGGAGGAGAAGGAAGAGGAAGAGGAGGAGGAGGAAGAGGAGGAGGAGGAAGAGGAGGAGAGAAGAGGAGAGAGGAGGAGGAGAAGGAAGAGGAGGAGGGCGGAGGAGGAAGAGGAGGAGGGAGGAGGAGGAAGAGGGAGGAAGAGGAGGAGGGAGGAAGAGGAGGAGGAGGAAGACTGTGGGGCCCTTGGTGCTCTCTGAACTTGGTGGTTTTCTTGCAGATGTTTCATGACCTAACTAGGGAACATCATCAGGGCTAGAAGGATGTGGGGGGGAAGAA